GGTGCACAGGAATGTCTAAAAGTATCGATGAGCAACAAAGGCACTATGCTAAAGTAAGTGAACAGACACTTCAAGCTTGCAGAGGAGGAGGAGAAGGAAACACTTACTGAGATGATTTTTACATTAATCATTGTGATTAATAAACAGTACCTGTATTAATCTAAAGAAAACTAACCCCTCACAATGTATGTGCTATGAATAGACACAATTAGTAGAAACATCAATGCTTTGCTATTTTTGTTTGTTTGTTTTGGGTTTTTCGAGACAGGGTTTCTCTGTGTAGTCCTGGCTATCTTGGAACTCACTCTGTAGACCAGGCTGGCATCAAACTCAGAGATATACTTGCCTCTGCCTCCAGAGTGCTGGTATTAAAGGTGTGCGCCACCACTTCCTGGCTGAATACTTTGCCTTTTAAAAACTGTTTTTACATATTTTTTTATTTCATTAAGGGTGTGTGTTCTAGCATGTATGCCATGGCCCGAGTGTGGCAGTCAGAGGACAAGTTGCCAGAGGGATACAATACAAGTAATCTGATTTGGTGGCAGGCACCTTTACTGGCTGAGTCATCACAAGACCACTTTTCTTTGTTTTAAAGTTGCTTTGTCATAACACAACCTAGTTCATAGCCAAACATAAAAGCAATGATGTAAACACACAGGAATGTGTCACCACACCTTGCCTGCCTCCATAATGAAGGAAAACTTAAGTAAGGAGGATTTTTGCTATAATATCTTTAAATATAGTTATCTTCCGAAACAAAAGGATTCTTACACTAGCTCAAACCATGGGAATTTCTTCTTTAAAAAACATGGTTCTGATATATATGAAGATAAAATATCCATACACATCAAAAAATAAAATAATTTTTAAATGTGCTTTGAGAGAGGCAGGGATGGATGGATGGATGGGTGGGTGGGTGGGTGAGGAAAGAGTGACAATATGAATTGGAATGCTTTATATATGCAGGTGCCCTTGAATCTCCTGGAGCTTGAGTTACAGACATTTGTGAGCCACCTGATGTGAATGCTGGGAACTGATATTCAGGCCTCTGGCAGAGCCACGGCACTCTGTTGAGCCATCTCTCCAGCCTCTGGGAATTTTCTATCTCTGCCCCTTCTAAAATCTTTAAGAAATACAGGTAAAATGGGTGATAAGAGTTCGGACTGGGGGCTGGAGAGATGGCTCAGAGGTTAAGAGCACTGACTGCTCTTCCAGAGGTCCTGAGTTCAATTCCCAGCAACCACATGGTGGCTCACAATCATCCGCTATGAGATCTGGTGCCCTCTTCTGGTGTGCAGATATACATGGAAGCACAATATTGTATACATAATAAATAAAATCTTTGAAAAAAAAAAGATTTCGGACTGAAGAAACATGGCTAAAGGATTCACTCCTTCCATGACTCCATTACCTAAGGTGGTATACACCTTTAGTCCCAGCACTTGGGAAGCAGAAGCAGGAGGATTTGTGAGTTACAGTCTGATCTATACAGTGAGTTACAGAATGGCTAGGACTATATACAGACCCTGTCTCAAACAAAAACAAAAACAACCCACATACATTGCTCTAAACCCCACAAAGTTCCTGTCAAATAAGTATTTTTCATGGACTGAGGAGATGAAGGCCCACTGGCTAAAACATGAGTCAGGGGACTTTGAGAGAGAATAGCTTGTCCTGTATGTAACTGTGGTGCCTGTTCTCCCTGAAGGTAAAAATCTAACAAGGCACACATGACTTTTTCCCTTTATGTTTTTAGAACTGGAAGTGAGGAGTAATGATGAGATTATCTAGATGTTCTCCTTTTTTAAAAATTCAAGTGTGTGTGTGTGTGTGTGTGTGTGTGTGTGTGTGTGTGTGTACAGGTAGCCAGAAGAAAATGTTGGGTGTCCTGCTTCATTACTCTCCACCTTATTCCTTTGAGAATAAGTTGGAGATAAGCTGGCAGCCAGCAAACCAATGATCCACCTGCCCTGGCCCCAGCACTGGGGTTACAGGTATTTGCCAACACACTAGGCTTCTTACAGGGGTACTAGGAAATTTGAACTCAAGATTCTCATGCTTTATAGAAAATGTTAATAGATACTGAATTTACTCTCTAGCCCCCAATTTTCACGTTTCTTTTCCTTTGTAAATTTTTATTATTTATTGTGTGTGCATGACATGTGTATGAGGTACATATGTCAGGTGGCAAGTTTGTGGAACCAGTTCACTCCTATCTTTACAGGCTCTGGGGATAAGCTCAGGTCTCCAGGCTTGGAAGCTTCTACCCACTAAGCCCTCTCTGGCTGGCCCTTTTTCCCCTCTCCTTCATTTCTTTACAGCAAGCATGCATTATTTTTACAGTAAGCAAAACAACCCATCCTCATCCTAACCTTAAAAAAATAAATGAATTCATCACATCCTTCAGATCCAATGTCTAAGATCATTTAGATACAAGTGTTCATAAGATGAAAACCAAATACAATTTAAATATAAGAATCACTGAAATGTACATCAAGCTTCAAAATGTTAGTGATTTCATGAACACTCATCAAATATCTATTGAGCACCTATTGTGTATTATGTATCACAGACACAAATATGAGCATAATAGCCAAGTTCTTTTTGATCTTTGGCCTCAGGAAGCTGACCATGTGAGCATCTGTCCTCACTGGCTCTAGTTCCAGTGAATGCCTGTTTCTCCCACTGTATTGTTTTTGAAGATTTCCCCCCCACCTCAAGTTTTTCAAGACAAAGTTTCTCTGTGTAGCCCTGGCTGTCCTGGAACTCACTTTGTAGACCAGGCTGGCCTCGAACTCACAGAAAAGTCTACCTGACTCTGCCTCCCACATACTAGGATTAAAGGCATTCGCCACCACTGCCCAGCAAGATTTATTTTCTATATATGGGTGGTTTGCCTGCGTATATGCATGTGTACCACATGTGTACAGTGCCCACAAGGGCCAGAAGAGAGTGGCAGATCCCCTGGAACTGGAACTGGACTTACCAAGTGGGTGTTGGGAATCAAACACAAGTCCTCTGCAAGAGCAGCCAGTGTTCTTAATCACTAAGCCATCTCTCTAGACCCAACCATAGTAATTGTTAATCATGCCCCTCTCACACTATTTGCAGTGGGGATATCACATTCTATTTATTAAAAATAACATCCCCTATGGCTAGAGAGATGGCTCAGAGGTTAAAAGCACTGGTTGCGGGCTGGAGAGATGGCTCAGAGGTTAAGAGCACTGACTGCTCTTCCAAAGGTCCCGACTTCAATTCCCAGCAACCACATGGTGGCTCACAACCAGAGTTTATGAGATTTAGTGCCCTCTTCTGGTGTGCAGACACACATGGAAGCAGAATGTTGTATACATAATAAATAAAATCTTTAAAAAAAAAAAGCACTGGTTGCACTTCCAGGGGACTAGGTTTGGTTTACAACATCCATTTGGTAGGTCCAGTTCCAGGGGATCTGATACTTCCTTTTGTTTCTGAGAACTTCAGCACACATAATGATGCATATATATATATATATATATATATATATATATATATATATATCCATACACACACACTTAGCTGCATACACACATAAATATTTTTAAAAAAACAAAACACTGTTCCTACAGGGCAGTGGTTCTCAGCCTTTAATACAGGTCCTCAGGTTGGGGTGACCCCCCCATCATAAAATTATTTCTGTTGCTATTTTATAACTGTAATTTTGCTACTGTTGTGAATCATGATGTAAGTATCTGTGTCTTCCGATGGTCTTAGGCAACTCCTGTGAAAGGGTTATTTGACCACCAAAGGTTGAGAACTGCTACCATAGTGACTTAGGTCTACAAAACATGTCTTCCTTTCATTTACTTTTATTTTAAAGACACATTCTTACTGTGCAGTTCTTGCTGGCCTGAAACTTATGATGTAGGCTGGACTGGCCTCAAACTCACAGAGATCTCACACATACACACACACACACACACACACACACACACACACACACACACACACACACACACACACTCACACTCACACACACACCTCTTCCTAACTCTGCCTCCTAGATGAAGGTATGCAAACCATGCCTGGCTTTCTTTCATTTTTTAAATTTTTATTTAAATTTTAAGAACTGTGATGGGATATCTTCTGTATGTATGTTTCTTATTGGCTGGTGAATAAAACACTAATTGGCCAGGCAGAAGATAGGCAGGGGTAGGAGATGAGAATTCTAGGAAAGGTAGGAAGAGAGGGCCTGCCAGCCGAGTTGCCATGTGGATCCCGGGAGGGTAAGACATGCCAGGCATTCTCCGGTAAGATAAGGTCATGTAGAAACACACAGATTAATAGAAATGGGTTAATAATTAAGATAGAGCTAGCCAGTAAGAAGCCCTTGTCATTGACCAACAGCTTCATAATTTAGTCTTTATGTGCTTATTTGGGGCTGCAGTGGTTGTGAGACCAGGCTGGTGGGGTGGAAACTTTCTTTACAGAACTGTTTATTTTACTGTATGTGTAGGAGTGTTTAGCCTGCATGTATGTGCACACCTGGCGCCTGAGGAGGTCAGAAAAGGGCATCAGGTCTCCTGGAACTGGAGCTACAGATGGGTTGTGAGCCATCATGCAAGTACTAAAGAGGCAGAGACAGGATGATCCCTGGAGCTCACTGGCTCAGCAAGTGCTGGGCCCCAGTGAGATAACTATCTCAAAATATTAGGTAGACGGCTCTTGAGGAATGACATCCAAGGTTGACATCTGTCCTCCACATGTATATACACACACAAACAAGCACAATGTAAACCCTACCCACCCCCACATGTGAGTAAATAAAATCTGACTTTGATTACATCAAAGTGTACCTTCTTTTCTTTTCTTTCTTTTTCTTTGAGATAAGGTTTCTCTGTGTAGCCCTGTCTGTCCTGGAACTTGCTTTTTAAACAAGTTGACCTCAAATTCACAGAGACCCATCTGCCTCTGCCTCCCAAGTAGTGCTGGGATTAAAGGCATGTGTCACTACCACCACTATGCTAGGTTTAATAATTTTTAAAGATCAAAACTTTTTTTTTTTTGAGACACGCATTTTTTTAGGAAATGTAATTTCCCGGTGCTACCCAGAATGGATGCTGTTATGTGCAGTTTGGAAATAAATTAATATCCTCAATTAATTTAGAGATAGGGTCTTGCTATGCAGCTCAGGCTGCTCTCAAACTTCCATTCTTCTGTTTCAGCCTTACTTCTGGGCTTACAGAATGAACTAGTACACCTGACTAGATTTTTTTTTTTTAAAGCCAAAAGATGTTTATTGGGACAGTTCCCACTCATCATAAATCAGTGCTGCTTCCTCCTAAAGGAGTATCCTTTCTCCAGCCTTGCTTTTCCATCTGTGGGCTGACAGAGGACCGTGGAGCAGCCAACACACAAGGCCATCATTTGTGCTTGGATAAAGACCATGGTGATTTTACAGCATCCTGGGCATTTCACATCCATAAGGCAAGAATTGGGGCTCTGCACCAGGCGCTTTTTCTTGTTTCCTCTTCTCCTGGAGAGGGATATTCTTGTAGGGAGGATGTCACCGCCGAAAAGGGAGAAATTTCTTTTTGTTAGTATTCCAGCTAATAAATGAAGGAGGAACTATACAACTGCATATTGCTCTGCAACTTCTGATGAATGAATACCTAAGCAACGCTAATCAAGGGCTGGATAACAATACCAACAAAGAAAGGATGTTTCCTGCTAGAATTGCATGCCATTGCCTATTAAATAATCTGATCAAGCACAGAGAGCTAAAACCAAATTGTGGGCCATAAAAAGAATTGCGGAGTATGTCACATGACATCAAATAAATACAATCAGCAAAATTCAGACTATAGGAAACTATACAACAAATGACTGGATTCTTCAACAAAAGAACTACAAAGGTGGGGGCAAGAGGAAGCACCACAGTCAACCAGCCTAGAGATCTAAAGGGACTTAACAAATGGAAAAAACACCCTGCAGTACCCCCTCCTCCTAGGGCTGCTTTTTTTATTTTGAGACAATATCACCATGTTACTATGCTGGTCTGGAACTCTTTGAGACCAGCCTGGTCTCAAAATCAAGAGATCTGACTGCCTCTGCCTCCCAAGAACCAAAATTAAAGGTAATCAGAAAGTTTGTTTTTTAGTATAATAATGGTAGTTGTCTTTTTCATTTGTTTTTTGGAGTCAGAGTCTTATGTTGCCCAGGATGGCCTAGAGTTCACTATATAGTCAAAGATGACTTTGAACTTCCGGGTCCTCCTGCCTCTACTTCCTGAATACCAGGATTACAAGTGTGTGCTCCTAGGCCCAGTTTTATGTGGTGCTGAAGATCAAACTCAGGGCTTCAAGAATGTCAGGCAAACATGCTCTCAATTGAGCTACACCCCCAGATTGGCAGCTGTCTTTAAAAAAAAAAAAGAGTTCTTATATTATTAAACAAATAATGTCTGAAATTGCTTCAAATTAATGATAGGGGCTACAGATTGAGAAGTATAATGAACAAAAATATTCATAAGCAAAACTATTCCATATATGAGTTAGTGAGACTGAAACTGGCTAGATGGATACATTGTTTACCCTTTTCTCTCTTCCTTCTTCCTCCCCATTCTTTAGAGAGTGAACCTCACTATAGTCTGGCCTTGAACTTGTGGGGATCTTTGGGATGTTGGTGCCTTCACTCCCGAGTGCTGGGATTATAGATATGAGTTACCAATTTCTAAATTTACTTTTCCCTCTTTGCTTTTTTATACTTGAGAATTTTTTTGTAATCTAAGAGTTTTGTATCTTTGCTTGTTTTATTTTATTTTTTGTTACTGTTGTTTAGGGTGTTTTTTTTTTTGAAGCAAACTCATAATCCTTCTGCCTCAGTCTCTTAAGTGATAGGATTATAATATCCCACCCCAACAGTATTCTCTCTCTCTCTCTCTTTGGTTTTTTTGTTTTTGTTTTTTGTGGAGGAGACAGTTTCAAGACAGGGTTTCTCTGTGTATCCCTGGCTGGCCTGGAACTCACTCTGTAGATCAAGCTGGCTTCTAACTCATGAATCTACCTGCCTCTGCCTACCCAAGTGTTGGGATTAAAGGCGTGAGCTGCTACCCATCCTCCTGCCAGTATTACATCTTTTGAGAGCCCCCAAAAGTTGTAATTTAGAAACACGTGGGGGACTAAAACTTGGTAATAGAGAAAAATATTTATTACAATGTAATCCAAAGTAATTTTTTTTTTTTTTTTTTTGGTTTTTCGAGACAGGGTTTCTCTGTGGCTTTGGAGGCTGTCCTGGAACTAGCTCTTGTAGACCAGGGTGGTCTTGAACTCACAGAGATCCACCTGCTTCTGCCTCCCCAGTGCTGGGATTAAAGGCGTGCGCCACCAACACCCGGCCCAAAGTGAATTTTGTGGGTATGCCATCCTTTCCTTCTATGGAGAGTCCCTTCCCCATCTGCCTCAGTCATAAAGCCCTAGCTATTCTTCCAATTGTAGCTCCACAGTGCCTTGTCCTCGAAGCTTTCATGATCAGGTCTGGAGGCACTTCGTGCCTTCTGGGAAGAGGAGACAGATCAGATCTCCTCCTTCCCTGAGTTCTCGTAACAGAGAGCTCTCACCTCAGCATCACAGAGCCAGCCTTCAACTCAGCATTCTGATGACAACTGGTTTTCTCTAATTACATTTCTCCCAGTGTGAGTTCTTTAAAAGAAAGAAATATATGCCCCCAAACACCCAATGCTATGCTCTGTCCAAGGCACGCGCGCACGCACGCACGCACGCACACACACACACACACACACACACACACACACACACACAGAGAGAGAGAGAGAGAGAGAGAGAGAGAGAGAGAGAGAGAGAGAGAGCCAGGACAACCTCACTTAGCTCATTAGTCTCACTGACATATGTGACAACTGCCAAACCTCTTTTCTGCTTTTTGACTCCCAAAATGGAAGATGTACTTTCAGATTTACTGTCACCCCTCCACTTTTAATGAGACTGTAAATTTGTTCCTATGTCATTGTTTCCTAGAATGCTTAAAAAGATTTTTACAAGAAAAAAAAAAAAAAAAGGGGGGCTGGTGCTGGAGCTCAGCTGGCAGAGCACTTGCCTGGCAAGCAGAAGACCCTGAGAGCGCTGCAGCCTGTAATCTCAGCACCAAGGAGGTGAGAGCAGTAGGGTAAGTTGTTCACGGTCAGTTTTGTCTACATAAGGAGTTAAGACCAACCTGGGCTAAATGAAAGTCTGTTTTTAAAAATAATAAAGGGAGCTGGAGTGAGTCCTCAGTAGTTAAGAGCACTGGCTGTTCTTTCTTCTAGGGCATGGGTTCAATTCCCAGATCCCACATGGCAGCTCACAACCACCTGTAATGCCACACACATGGTAGACAGATATACACGCAAGCAACACAAGCAAAATATCCATACAGTCCCTTTTGTTTGTTTGTTTGGGTTTTTTGAGACAAGGTTTCTCTGTGTAGCCCTAGAACTCACTCTGTAGACCAGGCTGCCCTTGAACTCAGAGATCCACCTGCCTCTGCCTCCTGAGTGCTGGGATTAAAGACATGAGCCGCCACCACCCAGCTCATACAGTACCTTTAATCTCCAAATTCAGGAGGCAGAGGCAGGAGGTTCTCTATGAGTTTGAAGCCAGCTTAGTCTACAGAGTGAGTTCCAGGCCACCCAGAACTACATAGTGAGACCCCGTCCCAAATAAATAAATAAATAAATAAATAAATAAATAAATAAATAATCTACACATGAAATAAAAATAATTTTTTTTAAATTTCATAATTTTAAAGTATAATTTATTTAATTTTATGTGCATTGGAGGTTGTCAGATCCCCTGGAACTGGAGTTACAGACACTGTGAGCTGCCATGTGGGTGCTAGGAATTGTATCTGGGTCCTCCGAAAGAGCAGCCAGTGCTCCCAACCTCTAAGCCATCTCTCCAGTCCCCAAATTAATTATTTTTTTAAAATCTATATCTGAAAGCTGGAGAGCTGGCTCAGTAGTTAAGAACACTTGTTTTCTTGCAGAGGACCCAAATTTGGTTCTTAGTACAACTTGGTAGCTCATGAGCATCTTCGACTTCAGTTCCATGGAATCCGATGCCCTCTCCTGACCTCCGCTGGGCACTGAACGCCTGTGGTACACTTATAAACGTATAGGCAAAACACCCATACACATAAAATAAAAATCAATCTGGGGATGGGCACATCTTTGACCAGTGAGATGGCTCAAAAGGTAAAAGTACTTTGCCATCAGGTTAACAAATCTGTTCCTGATCTTCAGAACCACATGGTAGAAAGAGGACTGACTGCCCAAAACTGTCCTCTGGCCTCCAAACACACAGAAAAATAAAAATATAATTTTACAGTGCCATATCTACTTGATGTCACCAATTCCTTCCCTCTCTTCCATAAACTCAACTGCTTAATGGAATGACTCAAATTAATGCAGTGAGTCTGGATGGGTAGCAGCAGTCGGCCTCAGCAGGGACTCTAGGCATTAAAAGATGGAGTGAATGATAACCAATAGGATTCTGCCTCCAGGCCAGCACCACCAACACGGCTGGGCATGCGGGAGGCACCTGCCTAGAATGCATAAGGCCCTGGGTTCAGTCCCTAGATATTTAAATGCTTAACTGACAATGAAAGCACCTGCATAAGAAACTTTTGACTACCATTCTCATAGGTCAACCTTCTAGTAAATGAAAGTGGCTATTTCCCCGTGCTCCTGGAGATGGGAGCCCTAACCACACTGGAAAAGGCAGCACTGTGCATGAAACACATTTGCAGGTGATTATAAATCATGTTTCTGCAGGAACTCAAGAAGGGTGGAGAAAGTTCTTTAGCCCTACCTTAAAATTGCCCTGAGCAGAATTGTCTATGAATACTAAAAGATAATTTTGAGATATTAATGTTGAAGATAACATTTGTTTAAACAAATAGAGATTCATATAATTATATATAACACACATATGTACACAATAAATGTTATAAATAAAATTAAACTATGACAGGGTTCAAGAATTTAATGTTTAAAAGCTTAATTTGTTTTCAAATAGAGAAAGTATGTATGCTGAAAAACTAGTGAAACCCGAACTCTGTATCTAGTTAAAAGGATTAAAGTCAGTTTGTTAATTCTGAGAAACTGTTACCTAAGACTTTATCAGTAGAGAAACTGAGTAAAGTGCAGGCGGCTTTTTCCCAAGCTCTCTCTCCCTCCATCCTCCCCTAACCCCCACCTCTCTCTCTCACACAGGGTCACTATGTAGCCCAAGCTGTCATCTAACTCATCAGTCTCCTGAATGCTGGAATTACAGGTGTACCTCTATGCAACTTTTCTGTAAACACAAAATCATTCAAATACATCAAAAAATTGCATGTACTGAATCACATTAAAAGATTTTCTCTGCCCCTGCCCCCCAAAAAGGAATCTACTTTGCTTGCTTCTCTTTTTCAAAAGAGACATTTTGGGTTTTTGGCCCTCTCACCCCAGCATCCATCCTGCACTGGAAATGCATATTCTCAGTTTATTTGGTAAAGACTGTCAATGAGCAAATGGACTTGTTTTTTTTCACCGGAACCCATGTACAAACACGTGTAAGTACATTTTATGGCTAAAGTCCCAAAATGACTAATGCCAAGATAACCTGACTGACTTCTGGCACTAACTGGCACTGCTGCCTACAGCTCATGACACTGTGAATCTGAGACAACTTGCCTGAGTGCAGTTCAGCACTTTTCCTAACTCTGAGGTGTGCCTGCTTTTGGTGCCAGGCAGGGAAGAATTCACTACTACAAGTGTATAAAGACATGCGAGTGGGCCATCCATCCCCCTAACATTACCTTAGTTTATCAAAAATTTTAAACAACAACAAAACGGAACATACCTATAGAGAAATATTACAAAATCATCTGCATTTATGATATAGATATATACTGACTGAAACCGATTAGGTTCATGTGGGCAAAGGGGATTTCAAAACATGTGAGAAGGAAACCATGCTCTTGGGGAGATAAAAATGGGGGTCCCTGTGAGAGGGTCAGGCTTATTTTGATCAGTTTCATGCAGCATTATGCAACACCATGAACATACTCTCACTGAGTCTGGAGCCTTCTGCTAGCAGCACATTCTCTCTTACACACAGACATCACATGCATGCAATAATGATTAAACTTAAATCTAAATAAAATTTAAAAAGTCAAGAAACAGACATGGTGGTTCATACCTATAATGCCAGCACCAG